CGCAATGTTCGATGTTAGTTTCTAGTTTCCTCCAATTTCAATCGAATCGAACGAAATGCCATAACGCCGTCGCGATAACAATTTTATTGCATATATAATTAAAATTGATAGTATATTGTTTCAATTCGAGCGGGTCGACTGATACTTGTGTGCCTCTCGTGTTTCCTTTCTCTCTTTCGTCGTCGACGTTATTTTTTGTTTTGTTTGTTTTTCACTTCAAGTTTCTTCGCTTTTTGCGGTTCCGGGCCCATCGATAAATCAATGCATTCCGAATAAATCATTTGGAGTCGGGACCCGAAGTGGAAGAAAAGGTAGTCCAAATCCAAATCCAAGACCAAAAATCCAGAGGTCCATCTGCTCCTTCTCTCCATCGCATCTCACCAAAATACTTCTCCTTTTAATTTCACCCAGCTTCTGCGTCTTTTCTTCTTCTTCTTCATCATCAACCTCTACTACTTTGTCTTCTTCTTATTCGCCATTGAATAAATTTGATTATTTTACCATAATATGTGCAGAATTTCGGAGAGGCCGAAGCGAAAAATTTCGGTTCCAACGAAAACGATTTATTTATTGCCTTGATTTCCTCTCAAGAAATTATACATGCGGCTACTCCAAAAACCATAACAAGGAGACAGCCTTCTTCCTCAGGAATGTGTCAATTATGGAAAACTTATTGCACGTCATTGCAAACATCTTTTATATTTATTTAATTATTTAGTTAATATAATTCATTTGATTCAAATGCTAAAAATGCTAAACGCAAAACGAACGGTGATTTGTCGCGAAGAGGAAAATCGATTTTCAATTTGTATAAATATGCTTGTAATACTGCTGAGCTAGGTCAAGGTTCCAGCGTTCAATTTCAATTGTATTCAGAGACAATGGATTCAAAGGAATTCAATGCATCTCCCAGATATCAATTTCGGTATTTCGCTCGCTAATCCGTAATCTCTCAATCACTTCCTAATATGATACACGATACCACTGTTTGTATTTTTTTTATTCTATTTTTTTGTTATTAATTACTTATCTCATAAAAGATACAATTTAAAAAATAACTTCACAGGAATTACAGTTCTTCTAAATGAAAATTAAGTTTAAAGTCTACATTGTTTTGAATTCGATTGTAACTTTTCGTTGGAAATATGAAAGTAATAGATTTTAATGTTTACTTTTTAAAATTATTTAAAAACTATTATATATAGAATATAACCTAGGAAATGAATCAATATTAAGCGTACAATATTATATATTTTTATTATTTCTTTCTTTCTTAAAACTTATTGAAATCCTCAAAATGTTTACAATTTTGAATTGAATTATTATTGAAATATTGCAAATCTCTACAAAAAATTGAAGGTCGATTTAGTTCAAACTGCTTCGATTTAATGTAAATCGTTCCATAATCAAAAAAAATATGAGTCTAATATAAATAAAAATAAATAATATTTTCTTTAGTTCTTTTATTCAATCTTCTATTCAATGGAATATAGGAAATGATTGAATAACCACACAAATGATAAATATGTAAATAATAGAAGTGAAGTAGTTTGAAGCGTGATACCAATTATATAACTTTTTGCAATGATTTTCAACAGAAATATTAACAAACACAGGACTTCCTGTCATCGATCCGCATATCTAAGTAACTGGAGTATTCGTATATTGCGCACCAGGATGCAGCAAATTTGAATGGAAGAAGTATTTAACAATATTCAAATTCAAGTTTTTTTCTTCTCTGTTTTTGTTTATTTTTAGAAAGGGTCGAGTTAGTATTGTGAGGTGCATTCAAGCAAAATCGTCGTTTTTGCATTGAATCGACTCGCAACGAAGTTTTCCACATTGCTTTTAGCATTGAATGTTGCCATTGATGCAGCCTTCGGTTTTTCTACAAAGAGGTGTTTAATTAAGTCTTGAGCCGTTTTTGCGGCAGCTAGATGTGCGCAATGTGAACGCTTCTTATGGCCTTGCTGCATTTTTTTTTTCAACGAAACGTCAAATTGATTCGTCAATTTGCAGAGATTCCACAGGATTTTACACATCTCGAACAACTGGAAACAATGATTCCACTCAATTACTTCTAAAGTGTTTCATTTAAAACAACATCAAGGTTTATTCATTTTTTGTTAATTATCTTATAAAAATAAAATACAAAAAACAAGTTTATTTATACAGAATCAAGATATTTTTAAGACATAAATTCTATTTTATGGTAATATCAAGTTATATTTTCTGGTAAATTATAAATATTCAATTGATTCTGCAAAGATTTTCCTAAGTTTTACACATCTTGAATGACTAGAAACAATTATTTAAACCAATTACAGCAATACATAGTGCAGCTTCGATCAGTCCAGATTCATTATAGTCATTGACATAATAAAAATAAATTTAAAAAACAATCAGTAAATTTTCTAAATACATAATGATAAAAGTTTATCTTCATACAAGTTCATACTTCTTTTTGTGCGGTTTATTTTATGTATGTATTTTGATGCTCGATTAGTCCGGTTTCAAACAATTGCCCGTGCTGTTCGAGGTATTGATGTACTTCTAAAGTGTTTCAATTAAAACTTTTTCAATAAATCATTAATATTTCCTGATTATTTTGTTATTAAATAGAAATAATAAATAAATTGCGTTTGCAATTATTTTATTAATTATATAATTTTAGTTTATTTGAAGAGATTTAACTTATTCCATTGGGAAGATTAAGTTATTGTCAATTTCTAGTAAAAAAGAATCTAAAATATTATGCAATTTATGAAATCGGTATAAGATGGAATTTGTGTTTTTCTTAATGAATGTTTACAATCAAGTTGTTTTAGCATTTCACACCCGGAGGAGGATTCAATTATACATTTTCCCCCATACAAAATCGCGTGCTCAATTCGTCCAAGTGAAAGTTTTTCTTTCATAATTATCTTTTCTTTTGCAGCCGCATTTTCCTTCTTCTACGTCCTCCTCACTCCGGTGACAGTCGCAAAGGTGGAGAAGACATTACACGCAATTATACACACCCGACGATGTGTTAATTGCAGGAAAGAAAGAACAAGGATGAACAAATGAAACTTAAGAACTTTCAATTAAAATAGAATACGTGGACACATTCGAATCGAACTTCAATCTGTGACCCATGTCCACGTAATTAACAGAAGATCACATTTAATTAGGATCGGAAGATTGGAATCGCAGCTGTGCAATTCATTTGCAATAAATTAGAGCTGTTATCCGAATAACAGTATAAAATGGTGTGTGACGAAATCTTTGAATAAAAGCAAATAGCAATACTTGTATTTTATTAGAGAATTTTCACTTATCTTGGAACGAACGAAACGTAACGAAAAACATATAAATAAAAACGAATAATGTAGGTAATAGATTTTCACGTTTCAACTTTTATCGCGTAATAAAGGTTGCGTATTATTATTTTTTCTTTTTCGGTTATCAGTTTTATACGTCAAATGGTTCGCTGGAAAAGTGTACAATTATTGCCGGTTATCAAGGCTGCAAGAGTTATGGCCCGACTTACGGCAGATTTTCTTCTCATTTTCTCCTACCAATCACAAACTATTATTGCTTTAGTGGCAGTAATTGCACAATGCGAGAAGCTAATCTGGTAAATACTTTCCACAAAAAACAAAACAAAATTAAAACTTTCCAATCAATTTATTTGCAACAATTATTCGAGGAAACATTAAATATAGTCAAAATTTCTAAAGAAATCATTAATAAAATTTAATTATATTTTCTGTTTATTCAAAGACAGAAAACACTTGTTCATATAATAGTAATAACAAATTCCAATTAGAAACGTGACGATAGTTTAAAAAAATTACTTTTACTTTCATATTTTAGATTTTTTTCTAAATGTGTAATTGTAATTAAATAACGTGTAAAATGCAAAACATTAATGCAAATTTTACTATCAGCCTTATTTTAATTTTAGTTGTCATTGTTTATGTTACGTTGCGTTAACATAATTATTTAATTGTAAAAAAAAATCTGAAAATCATCTATTTTCAATGAAATATTGAATGAAATATTGAAATATTGGATAAATAAGAGAGAATAGAAATAAAGTATAAATTAAACTTTGAACATCTGCAGATGCTTTGGAAAATAATGTTTTAAATGAAAATTAAAATTACGCAAATCTAACAAAAAAATTTCTTATTTTTTTTTATATAACGGATAATTTTAATGAAACAAAATATTAAATCATTAATTTTTCGAAAATTTAACAAATTTTGTAAAACAATAAAATTTATTAAAATTTAACGTTTTTCCCAGAAAATTTAAGGATTTTTCAAATATTTATTGTGTGGTATTTCTTTTTTAATTTAACAAGAAATAAATTTAATGATAGTTTTAATAATAAATATAATATATATATATGCTCTTACTTTTTATTGTGTGGTAAATATTAATGTAAGATGAAACTTTGTTTAATGAAATGTTATAGCTGATATTTTTCATTTGCGAACTAACATGTTTATCTTTAACGTACAGAAATACGCGGCATTAAGTATTTAAATTGATTATTAAAATATTTTAATTACTTTCATGTATTGTGTAAATCTATTTAAAAAAAACTGAGTAAATAATACTTGTAATTTCAATTTGAAATTATATAAAGAAATTAAGTAAATATTTATGTTATATTATAAATATTAATATAAGATTATAAATATTTTAGTTATTTTCTGTATTTGGTAAAAATATTTTGCATTTTCAATGATCGTGCTTTATCTTTGATATCTGATTCTGGAAACTTGAAGAGATTACGATCTCAAGATGCTAGGTGAATTCACAGGGGATTTTCAAAGCGTATCCATCCAATGGGAAAAAGAGCAAGAAAACATTAACAGAAAAAAGAAGAATAATGAAAATGATGAATGGTTGTTTTGATAATTCCATTTGTTACGGAAATAAAATTAGCATTTCATAAATAGTAAACGGTCGCAAGTGTAGGTATTATAAAAAAAAAGACAACTCACCCGTATCCAAATGTTGTGTTACAATCCTCATCGGAAGCCATGGTGTTCATAAAAAGATGTATTCAAGTCACCAACAAAATTGAGAAATTATATGGTGACAGGATGATAATTTTTCTGTTAGTGCAGATGCAAATAAAAAATATTATCACTGATAGTCAATAGTTCGTAAGTGTCAATCACTCGATTATTATCCCCATATTTTCGCCTCAGTCCGTCTTAAATGGATTAATAAAAGAGTTTATATATATATATCTGGTGCAATTGAAGAGTTATGAGGTGGACGTGTTTGCGTCGATGCACGGTTGCTGTTTGCTCAGTTCTTCCAATATTTACACTTTACGCGCTTAACCTGGTAAACCTTTAAACACTTCAAACATGCATGAAATGGTGCGTTGATTTGTGTTTATTGCTCAGACCTCCGCACTATGTTCCTGTCTCTGAAGATGATGTTTGGGATGAGATCTATTTGGTCTTTTGGGTAAGCGTATCGGAAGGATTTGATGAAGGGTACTCTCCTGAGGACACTTCGAAGAAGGCTTTGTTTTTGTTAGGGTTGGTTGTTGTATGTTCGAAGGCACTTGGTTGCTTTGAAGGAAGGCCGACGGATCGTATCCGCGAAAAGTCCCTGGGTTTCGTGGTGTTTCCAGCAGCACAACTACTACACGCGTCTATACAGTGCGCGCTGTTCACTGATACTAAGTGGGCTGGTACAATCCAATACCTGCCTTACCTCCAACTTACCTAGCAGGTACGTGTTTATCTAACGTGCTGCCACCTGTGGAATGGTTTACCTCCGTCAAACTAACGAACGACGAAAAAGCAAAGGCAAAACGCAAGGATCGCGCTTTTCGCTAACATTTTTGTTTTGTTTTTTAAAATACATTTTTATCAAATTGTAAATATCCGATGCAATGAGAACTACAGTCGAAATGCCAATAAGCATTACATTAAGCATCGAATAAAAGCTTTACGCAGAATAATACAAAAAAAAAATACACTAAAGATCATTCATATTTTATCAATAAACATTTTCTTATAATATATACAATGATTACAACCATCCTATCGATTTTATTAAATCCATTCTTATTTATATTTCTTCACATTTCTTACACTATTCGAATCCGTTTTGGTACTAACTAATTTGTATTAAAAAGCATTAGTTATATTTTGCAAAATAATTTATTTTTTTATTATAATCTTGAGCTAAAAATTGAACTGATGCTCTCAATAAATTTGATGCATTTCCATATTTTTTAAAGAATGAATAGGCGGTTAATCTATTATAATTTAACAAACAAAATTAACAATAAAGATCATTTATATGTCATTAATAAAATAATATAAATATTTGATTATGTGTACACTTTTTAAAAGCTAGTTTCCTTGCATTTATATTCGTTTTTCATTATAATTTAACTTATTTAGATGTATTTCAACATTTTTGAAATCGGAAACAATATTGAAAATATGATTATCTTAATTTCGATTAAAGTTTGTTTTATTGTTACAAAAATATGATTTTGGGTTAAATGTATTAATGTGTATTTCTTGAAAAAAATCCATTGATTCATTCAAGTATTGCTTCAGGTTACAATAAGACATCTTTTATTGTAAATTTATAGTAGATTCTTTATTTATTTATTTATTTCATTGAAAATAATTATTTCATAATGTTATATGTCTTCTATTGTAGATATTTATTATATAAAAACATTTAATTGTTAATATTTTATAAACTGATTTAATGAAAAAAATATGAAAATTTATAATAATAATAAAAAATCTTTATTAGTCACCAATTGTAACCAAAGGGCTATCGACCTAAGTCTTTCCGCTCAATCGACACAATAAAATATAAATTGTAACAAAAAAATACGTACATATTGAAAATTTATTATTCTGTAAAATATTTAAAAAAATATTTTTGTAATAATAATAATAATTTATTTGCCAAACATGAATACATAAGAAAAAATACATCCCAAAAAATATGAAAGTTAAAAATATTTGTATATGAATATCATAAAAAAATCAAAGTAAACAATGAAACAAGAAAATTAAACATTTTGACAACAACTGTTAAGTTTTGTAATAGATACTACCAATACCTCTCATAGTGCGGTTTCCGTTAGTCTGGTTTGAAAATTTCAAAACAAACTAAATTTAAAAAAAATAAGTCCACAGATTTTGGTAATACATAAATGACCGTTTTTTTTTCTAAAGAATTGTTTAATTATATTTAATGAATAATATTAAAGAAACTATCACTTATATACCAATGTTACAATGATAGAAATAAACTTGTAGGAAAGAAATCTCATTGGAAACAAAATGATTTAATGACTAATAATTCTTTTTTCTATTCATTCGTAATGATTTTCCAAAGTTTGATGAAAAATACTGAAACAGTTCATTGGAAAAAAACAAATGAATTTGTATGAAATCTCATTGGAAACAGAATGATTTCAGAATTTTTAATTTAATACTTAGTTTACGCTTGTAAACGCTCATTACAACTATTGAAGATTTCTTCTTAATATTTAATTTAACATTAATTATATTTTGCGTTCGGCCGTATTCCCACGACCCCGTTTCGGTAATAAAAAAAATAACAACTAATTAATTAATATATGTATCTGTAATTAAGAAATACACAAATATTAATATGTGTGTGTGCGTGGAATACTTGATATTTACAATTATTCGAAATTATAAAATACGCAATCTGCAATGGAATCTAATTTTTCGAAGACTAATTACACAATAATGATGATTAATGGCGTCCGCCCAAGATTTCATATGAAAATCGTAACGGCTCGAGATTTTGAAATTGATTAATTGTGTCTTATATGTCTTACAATTTAGTAATTTTGTTGTCATTCCATTATGTCTGTATCTTTAAACAGATATCTTAAGTTATGTTATCATAGTCATTCGTGAAACATAACACTATTTTTTCTATGATATCAACTTACAATGGGATTAATCAACCTAAAGGTATTTATTTTATATTGTATGACTTAGGTATCATTGATGTATCATTGAGTTATTGTTTTTATATTCAGCAGTCTGCTATGTTATGAAGAATGCATTTGTTTAAAATAATGCGCGCCGGATGTTATCAAGGATTTAGGATTGGCATAATGTATGGCTGTGTGTGTATGTGGATGTCACGTGCGAGCGGGAATGATTTGAAGCGGTCTACATACTAACATGATGTTCTTCTTTTCTGATGAGGCTGGAGAGCCTGTGAAAGTTTACCGGTGTTTAGGTACGAAGATGGTTTTGCGATTTCAAAATCGTCGCACCGTTTAAAATCAGAGCAGACGTAGGAAAAATGCCTCACGTTGCGATGCACATAGAACAAAATAATAATAATAATAAAGAAGAAATATGGGATACGAAACGCATTTGTAGCGACACGAAAAACTAATGGATGTAGCGAAAATGCGAACACGAAACCAACGACAGTGAAATACTGTTCCTTTTATTTTTCTATCTTTTCTCTAACTGCTTTCGATTTATAAATTTCAAATTAACTTTTTGGAAGAAAATAATCTTAATAAACAAAAAACCGACTAACGACTATTAATTATAATTTTACAAAAAAGTCGAATATTTTATTTCATTTTTAACTTTAACAGGTGATTGTTTTTATTAAATTAATTTCATGTATTAGTTATATATACTAATAATTATACATTTTTGTAACAGATTTGTAACAATATTTTAGCGTGTCACATATATGTGCCCCCGGTCTATATCTTCTTTTTCCTATAACTAGACTAGGGTTTCCCAAACTTTTCCTACAACGAAACATTTTGTAAATTCTGAAATTTCCACCTTATTTATTTTATAGTGTAGATAGCTAAGAAGACATCATAAATAACATTTTGAATAATAAGAAAAACATTACAAACATTCATTACTTATTGTGAAATTCTGAAGTAGACTATGAAGTCACATATTTGTGACATGTTTTTGTTGCAGGATTTGTCTAATTAATGATTAGTATTAAAAGTATGGATATTGTATCGTGGTTTCTCACAGAATTCGGACCGTCACACATCATATGTGCTATGCTTGGTAAACAACTTGTTAGTTATTTATAAATATGTTATAAATAAAAGAACTATTAAACTATCAATTAACGGATGCGTTACACAAAATTACATACTTCGTTAAGAAAAACTTCATTTTCTAAGGTAAAAATACTATATCTAGAATTAAACGCTTTATTTCGAACAAAAGTTAAATTAAATAAACACTCAATAAAACACTAAAGTTGATTGTTTGTGCTTTTTCTGTATTTCATTTAACAATTACCTACATGGAGTTATTACATTTAACATTTATCACTCAAACATTTTCACTAAAAAATTTAAACGTTTTCAATATTTTTTAAGCTCCTTTTAAAAACTTCTTTCTCTCTCTCCATTTACTTTGTCTTAGTTGCTAACAATTTTCCATTAAAAAACGTTAATCTTCGGCGTTCTATTAATTCCTGATATCCTCTTCATCGTCATTTAGAAGCCTCTTCATTGAGGCATTTCATTTCTAATTTCTTCGATATAAGAAATTGTATGTTTTTCATTAAACATTAACATTTTACTCATTACATAGTGAAATGTTCTTTAAGTAATATAAAAAATCAATGATTGGCTTATATAATTCTCATTAAAAGTTCACGATTTTAAATCGAAATGAACTGACGTGTCTATATTGTTATTAAAACATGAAAAACTAATTGAAATTGATAAATTTTATTAGATTCTTGCTTTTTATTGATTTGTATTACAAAAATACAATATTATATGTATTTTATTTATATTTTTCCGATCATCGTTTTATTCAATATTTTCATTACAATTAACCTTTAACTACTCGTGTAAAAGTACACCATGTTTCTAAGAAATGATACCACATCTATATTTTCTCTCCCCCATCTATGACACTTAACGTAACCTATGTCCAAAGTGTGCAATATTGTGTTAGTGTAATAGCGGACAATTCTGATACCTCTTCTTACGCTTTTATAGAGCCCAATGAGGACAATTCTGATTCAGAAATGATTATATTAATAGTTATGTATCTAATAAAAAAGCATTAGTTAACTTGAAAAAGTTTTTCTTGTCGTAATACAATCATTTATGCAATTTATCTGGCAGTAATACATGTGGTGTATAAAATACACCGCGCCAGTAGTTAATATAAATTTCAGTGACTCAATAAATTTATTTTAAAATT